CAGAGAGAGCTGCTGCCAGCTCTCAGAAGGCTCAAGGTGCAGCTCACTTAAACTCTGGGATTCTGGGATGACCTCAAGTCACCTGAGACCTCTCATCCAGAGTGTCTGGCAGGATCACCATGGGGCCCTTCTGCGTGACCACTCTCCAGGCTGTCCTTGCTGAGCTATGACAGCTCCCTCTGCTAGAACCCCAACCCATCCCTCCAGGTTCCCAGCGATGCAACTGCTCAACAAGGGCTTTGCTGGAGAGAAGGTCCTGGGCTGCCTGATGTAGTGGGTGTGACAGTGAGCTGGACTCCACAAGTCCCCTCACACTCAGTGACAAAGAGCAAGCTTCGCCCGAGAGGGGCATGGGCAGTGGGGACCAAGAGAGGAGCCAGGACCTCTTGATTATAGTCCCAGCTCTTCCCCTAAATAGTTTTTCCCTTTCAGGGACACCCGAGGCGCTGTGTATAAAGTCAGGTTTATTAAGCTGTTGGGAACAGAAGCCCCTGCTCTGTTTTGTGAGAGCAGAGGAAGGACTCACGGGAATACTCACCCTGGAAGGGGCATAGAAGCCAGAGGGGTTTCTTCAGGAGAGAAGGTGAGGAGCCCTGCGGACCCAGTTATCCGCCCAGCAAGCAAGCAAGTAGCTATATGTTAGAAATGACAGGAGAACAAGCTGACATCCTCTCTGTCACGGGGCTATTCTTCCTGCAGTGTTATCCTTTGGGGGGCTCAGAAATTAGCTCTACCAGGGGAGCGGAGTAGTGTGGGGAGAGAGATACGGAAGGCGAAGCCTCTCAAGCCCCTCCCGCAGGTGGCGACCCCGTCTCACGCTTTCTGGTATTTAGACCTCGCAGAAGGCTTCGTCCCTGGCGCTGGCTTTCTGGGCAGCTGGTTAGGGCAGGTGAGGCAGCCCCACTTCCTGGCGGGTGACGGAGGCCTCGAGGACTTGCGCTTATCCTCAGAGTCCCCAGGAAGGGAGAGGTGCAGGTGGGGACTAGATACAGGTTTCCTAAAGCAGGGGTTTTCTTTCCCGGATGTCAACCCCGGGGTCTGAGTAGAGACAAGCCAATTTCTGAACTTGCCTTGGACCTGGGGACGAGGACGAGGCCTCAGAAAAAGAGGGAAGAGGCTTTTTAAAAGCCAGGGTCCTGATGAGTCCTCAGAAGTAGGAGGTGCTTCTCTCTGGGGGCTTGTTAGTGGGGCACCGGGACTGTGTCTTCGGGGTCCTATAATGATTCTGGGGGCGGTGGTGGAAGAGCTGTGTCATGCTGGAAGGACTCCTGGGAAGCTGCCTACCAACACGGTTTCCTAAGTCAGGCCCTTAGAAAGTGAGAGCCCTGGTGGAGGCCACGGATTAATGAGCAGAGGGTGTGGGAAGGTTGAGGGCTGTGTTCCTCCAACTCCTATTCCCACTAGTAATTGCTCCTCAACATCCCCTCCCCCAAGGCAGGGTGGGTCGCCCCCTCCCCTAAGGCAGAGTGGGTCACCCCCTCCCCCAAGGCAGAGTGGGTCACCCCCTCCCCCAAGGCAGAGTGGGTCACCCCCGACCTCAAGGCAGAGTACTCTTTCTCCTCTCACCAGAGAAGTCAGTGCAGTAGGAAAAGCATCACAGACAGACCTGCTCTTCTGGTTATTAGTGGTTTGACTTTGTAAAGCTGCTGAAACCTTTTGGGCCTCAGTTTCCTCATCTATGACATGAACATATCCTTCACCACAGAGCATTGCTGTGAACATTAAATAAAGTAAGATCCATTAAGCTGCTAGCAGAGGTGCAACAGTTCATCTACATATGAGAATTGCTGACATTTATGAGTGTGTGTTATGTACATGGTAATGCAGTAAGAACTTTACAAGCCTGAGGGCCCTATATATCCTCACAATAATTCTAGGAAGTAGACTGTAGCAGACACATCAGACATTCTGACTCACATCTGCTTAGCCTGTCTTCGGATTTCAGCCATGGCTGGGTGGACAGTTAGTTCCCTACAGCCTTCTGCTCACTGCAAGTTGGCAGTGGGATGGGGGTGAACACTGGGGGAGCTCACTCTGTCTGAGCACACGTGGAGCTCAGAAGTGCAGAGGGCAGCTCGACAATGGGGAATGGAGACAGTGGATAGATGCCCCACCCGCATCTTCACACAGTTCTGGGGGGGCATTCTATATGCTCTTGCACAGTCAAGTCTCTGCTGTCCATAGCAGGGACTTTGGTAATGCACCCCTCAGTAGGGGACAATTCTTCCTTCCCTGTCTCACTCTATTCATAAATCAGTCCTGCTCCCTGGGATCACCTCCCAAATAAATAACCTCACTCTTGCTCCCTGACATGAATTCCCGATTAAACCACACACGCGTATCTTGTCTGAGACTCTATTTGGAATGAGTTGGTTCTGGGGGTAGTTCAGAAAGCATATCTTCCAGAAAGAATGCTGGGACTGGACCATTTACCACTCTTGGGGTAAGTGGGGTTGGTGATAACCTCTAGCATGTGATAGCATCATAATTACTAAGATTTGCTTGTGTTAGATTGGGATGAGGTACAGGTGGAAAGCAAAACACTGGGTTATGCTAGCTCTAGCACATTAATGTTATGAGAGCCATGGTATTTATAAGAATTGTGGAGTTTTAAGAATACAGATGGCTTTTGTTAACTTCCGTGGAAGCCTGGAAGAAACAGAATGATAGGCCCAGGTCAGCCAACTGTCAACTATTACTGTTGTGATAGCAAGAAAACTTCCATGGCAACATTTAATGAATTCCAGGCCCTGATAGGGAATGAGTGAGACCCTGAGTCCTGGAATGGGGATGTTTGAGTGGATGAGCATGAGAACTTCGAATCCTCAGGCTCCTCTGAATCTACTTGCCAGGGTAGAAGCATCCCTGACTCTTGCTAGCAGAACCTCCATTTGTCTGAAGACCATGAAAACGCCTTATATGCGGCAGAATTCTCGGAAGATTATTCTTATCGTCCTCAAGAACTTCTTCCACTTCCTTTATTGCCTCCAAAGTAATTAGAATCAGGTGTCAGCATAGCCTGAGAAAGGAAATCCCAACTATAAACCAAGAGGAAATAATTTACTCACTGCAAAGAATACCCCTACCTGGCTGTGGTAGGCAGAATAATGGCCCCCAAAGATATCCATCCTAATCTTTGAAATCCAATTTATTTGGTAAATGGGACTTTAAAGTTAGAAATCTTGGGATAGGGATATTATTGTGGATTAGCCAAAAGGGGCCTAAATATAGCCAGAAGAGTCCTTATCAGAGAGAGGCAGAGGGATATTTGACAAGAGAAGAGAAGGCAATGTGATGATGGAAGTGGAGATGGGAGTGTGGTAGCCACCGCCACAGGATGACAGAAGCCACTTGGGAGCTGGAGGAGACAAGGAATGGATTCTCCTATGGAGTCTCCAGAAAGAACCAGCCCTGATACACATTGAAGTTACCTCCATGAGACTCATTGCAGACTTTTGGTCCCCAGAGCCATGAAAGAATGAATTTCTGTTGTTTTACACCATTAGGATTGGGGTCATTTGTTACAACAGCAGTAGGGAACTAATTCATTGGCTAACACATTTTGGAAGAAACTAGAAGTCCCTCTAGTTCATGGAGGAGCAAATGTGGGAGTGGATCCTGAGCATCAAGGGAGTGGGGTAGGATGTAAGGATGGATAAGAGAGTTAACTGACATGGGAGCATTTTCTTTTTGACTCAGGATTTAACATCCTAGCAGGGACTCCTGGAGGTGGTCCTAGTAAACCACTGACATGTCTCCTTGAAACTTGGGCAAGATGATGGTGGAGGTACTAGCACTGATATCTAAGAATATTGAGGAGGGAGTTAGGGGCTCAGGGGAGTAGAAAACTTACATGGGATCAGAGGAACCATTGCTAGATTACATTCCCTAGAAAGGTCCAGATATCACTCCCTTTAATTAGGAAATAAGAAATGCACAGATGAGGAGAAAAGATAATCTTTGAGAAGCCCAGTGTTAGCTGCCTTATGGCTTTAATTTGCATCTCTCTGATGACTAGCAAGGTTGAGCAACTTTCATGTACTTACTGGCCATTTTTTATTGTAAAGTGTCTGTTAAAATCTTCTGCCCATTTTCATTGAATTTTTTTTGTCTTCCACTTAAAGCTGCAAGAGAATTAAAGTTTCTATCTGGTATCCCAGTACAATTTTCTTAGAAGACTACTCTTTTCCCATTCAGTTGTCTTCACATCCTTGCTACAAATCAATAGACCATAAATATGACAGCTTATTTCTGGTCTCTTAATTCTATTTTATTGGTCTATATATCTGTCCTGATATCAGCACCACACTGTTTTGATTACTGTAGCTTTATAGTAAGTTTGTAAATAAGGAAATGTGAGTCTTCCAACTTTGTTCATTTTTTCAAGATTGTCTCTTGGGTTTCCATATAAATTTTAGTATCAGTTTGTCAATTTCTGCAAAAACATCTGGGATTTTGATATGTGATTGCACTGAATCTGTAAATCAATTTGGGGTACATTGCCATCTTAACAATATTAAGTATTCCAAGCCATATACAGGTACAAAAAATGAAATTTGTTACATTCATTTATGTCTGCTTTATTTTCTTTCAACAATGTTTTGTAGTTTTCAGAGTATAGGTTATTTTTTGAAGTAGATATTTTTTCTATCTCATTTTGAAGGTAGGTATTTTTCCCTATTCCATTTTTCCTATTTTACCTCTGATTCTCAGAGAAGTAAACAAACAGAACTGTGCTCTTAAATGGTAAAACTTGGATTTAGATTCAACTTACATGGTTCCATGTTCAGTATCCTTTCTACAGAATTTGTTTTATTTACATGTTCTGTAATCCTAATGAAATTATGTAAAACTTTAAATATGACTCTTCATTTGCCACCAGTTAGCTACAACCTTCTAAGTCCAACATGCACAAAAAGCCAATTAAACCGAATTGTCTACTAGTCAACTACATGAATCCCAACCTTCTGCCAAGGAGTGGAGTGGGGGGAGTCACTTACTGTTTCAGAAATGACCTTTAGATTTGAGAGGCTCCACTGTTTGTTCTCTGATGTACCTTATGGCCTCCACAAATCATCTAAGGAGTAGACCAAATGACTCTTCGTGAAGCTTTTGATGAGCACTCCCCACAAGAGGTAGTTACTCCCTCCTTCATGCTCTTACAGCACTTTGTTTAGAGCACCACACTGTCATCTATTACTTACTGCCTCATTGTACTGTGGTCATTGCCAGGAGTTCCCTCCAAGATAGGCTCCATTACTACACATTTGCCCCTTCATGGGCATAGAGTGGAGACTGAGTCACATATGCCTTTGTTGCATCAGCTTGTTAGACTCTAGCCTACACATAGACAGTTTGTACAATGCCATGTTGCCCTAGACCGAGCATGTCCACACTGTTTCCTCTCTCGTGTATTATCAAGCTTTCCCAACTCGAACCCCACTTCCACAAATTACTTATGGCCTACTCTTGTTAAAATGTACTTCACAGCTTATTCCTCCTACATAGGCACACGTTTCTTATACCTTATGAGAGGGATATGTGAAGGGGAAGGTGGATACTGGGCGAGCAAATGATCGGGTCCATGTCTTAAGGCGATAGGCCAGACTTTAGAATTGAGTTATAGTCTAGGTGTGGTTTAGGCTCTAAAGGCAGCAGATTAGGTTAAAAACTTCATATATTCAAATTACCTTGAAAATCCTTAGCAAGGTGGTTCATTATATAATGACACATCGTCTAGCCTTAAGTTAAACATAGCTAGTTTTTCTTTCGTACTTGAAACGGCTAGTATTTCTCTAGTAGAACATAAGCACCAATGAAATATGTGCCTGTATTTAGAGGCCAGTGGAACAAGAAAGAAAAGGTACCTCAAAGCACTACACTCTTGCACAGCATGTGAGATACTCGTGGTTCATCTTCTCTCTCTCTCAGTATTCTCTGAGCATCTATGATTACATTCATACAAGCTAAATTCACAGTGAACGCATATACCAGTTCGCCCTTCTACTTCCATTATTAAGCTCCTTTAAGTTTCAAAAGCTATTCCAGTTTGGACTATAAAAAAGTAACACAACAGATTTCCTTTGTGGTGATGGGAAAGTTCTGTGTCTTGATTGTGGTGTCAGTTATACAAAACCATACATATAATCAAATGTCATCAACTACACACAAAGGCATACAAAACAGAATAAGTACATGCCAAAACTGGTGCAATCCATGTAAGGTCTGTAGTCCAGTTAATTGTATTGTGCCAATGTCAATTTTCTGGTTTTAATAATGTCTTCTAGTTATAAAATGGTATCATTGGAGGAAGCTGGGTGAGGTACAAATGACCTGTCAGAAATACCTTTTAAACTTCTGTGAGTCTATAACTTCTTTAAATAAAAAATTTAAATATATATATCAAGTTTGAACAATTGATTATATGACCTTAGTCCCCCTTTCTGGATTCTGTAGTTATTTCATGCACCTTCCCTGCATTAGTGTGGCCAAACCATCTAAGTGTATATCTAAACCTCATACTTATATTCTATAGTGTACATTTGGGTGTAGTAGTCTGGGAAGAAATAATTTCTCACCCTCTCCACACCTGTACCAAAGTTTATCTACTTGGCTGAGTTCTAGAAAATGAAATTTAGGTCAAAGTGATATATGTCACATATAGGTCAGGTCCATAAAATTCTTCCATGTGACCATCTACCCATTATCTTCTTCAAGCTGGATGTCAACCTGAGGCGACTTTGAAAACCCTATGTTGAAAATGTCAGACCCTCCATCATCCCGGTGGCATGAAACATATCTTCCTCCAAGCCCAGTGCCAACTAGATTTCACACGAGCAAGAGAAAACGTTTATTGTATCACACCACCAAATGCATCAGAATATGAGAGTATAGAACAGCATACAGAGGCCAGAAATAGATCCACTTTTGTATCTTCCATTGATTTGGACCTTCCAAAGATACAAAGGAATATAGTCTTTCAAGAAATAGCTCTTAAAAAAATCGAATTTCCATATGCAGGAAAAAAAAACCCATGAACTTCAATCTATACCTAATACTCTTTACAACAATTAACTCAAAATGAATTATATACCGTAATATTTATATGAGTGCTAATGATTCCCCACATCCCAGAGCAGAAAGCAAGGAGCATCTGCAGCAGTGCTGAGGTGAGGTACTTCGAAGTGCATCTCCTAAAGCTAGTCAAAGCCAGTGCAAAACAGGTTCCTGCAGGTGTGGCTGGAATAAGAGGTGAGGCCCAGAAAACTTAAAATGGGATCCAAGCAGTGTCTCATATAGTTCTCAAGGGAAGAGTGCTTCTGCCTGGGGATGTAACAATGGTTTCATTGAGTTGAAAGTTGAGACTACCACCTGGCCAATTGCATGAAACAACATGCTAGCAATATGCAGTCATTCTGTCTGGGGTGCTTGATACTGATTACCAAGGGAAAACGTGGTTAAACTACACAACTGGAGCAGGGAGGACTATGTATGAAATCCTAGGGAATTCTTTGGGTGCCATCTGGTATTAATATTTAATATTTCCACATCCAATAATAAATGTTAATGAAGTGTATAACAGCTCAGTCAAGCAAGACTAATGAGGATGCAGACTCCCTGGGAATGACAGTTTACATCACACCACTATGTGAAGAACCTCATCCAGCTGCTGATGGCCAGGGGCAAGGGGAGGCAATGGAATGGGTGGTGGAAGAAGGAATTATGAATGTCAACTATGACCTTGTGATCCACTTCCTGCAGGGACAGGAAGAACATGGCATTAGGAGGTAATCTGACATGTATGCAGAGTGGTTGGGATGATAGTGGTGGTGGGTGCTATTAAGTTTTCCTAAAGATGGAGGGAGCTAAAAGTAACTGAACAGGGTGGGCATATGGTTTTGTTTTTTTTTTTTTTTCTTCTGTCTTGCCCTGTGGAAGAACTAAACACGATCTGGGAGAGTTTGTCTTTTCTCTGATCCGGTCCTTTCCATGTATCTGCATATAGTTGAGTCATAGAAGTCTGATCCTTGTTAGGGCATGTTTATCTCTTCTTGGGTATTTTTACAAGGAGTTGAATTTTAGGAAGAGACTGCCACTTGGAAATCTTTACAAAACATATATCTTTCATGGTGATAGTCTGCTTCAGGCCCTCAGATGGTTTCTTATGCAAAGTTTTATGCTCCTGAGATATTTTAGGACATTCACAGTCTGGTCCCAGCTTACTTTTATGGCTTCTCCATTGATTCTTCTTTACCTCCCAAAACGTAGGCTCCAGTTACACAGGCCTACACTATAGTCCCTCAATGGGCAGTGATTAAGCATCCTCCCATGAGCTTTTCTCTATCCCCACCTTCCCCCAAAGAATAGTCAGGTGTGATCAGCCACTGCTGCAGGAGTCTGAGAGAATTTATCCTACAGAAGTCCTGGGTAATTAGTTTTTCTTTAATGAGTTACTCTGATATCTGAATTCCTCTGGGATGCAGGGTCCCTTAGGCCCAGGGATGGGTAGAACAGGAGACATGAGAAGGGGTGGTCCAGTCCCAGGTGACGACTACAGAGGCTGTTACTTCACATGCTTATAATGAATAAAAAGGAGAAAGACCTCACGTCAGGGCCCTGGAATTACCCTCAGACACACTCGGTAAGTTGAGCAGGAGGTGGGATGAGCTGATTCTTCATGTCCTTCCAACCTGAAGGCTATGTTTTCTCAGATTGTGTGAAAATAGTTTTTAAAATAGTTTTTCAGGGATGATAACTTTCTTCTTCTCCCTCTCTCTACCTCCTAAGACTTGCCAACATTCTAGAAGTATTTTGACTACTATTTTCCCTTACAACTGTTGTCAATGAAAGCATCCATAAATATTACTTACTGCTTTATATAGCCTCACAAAATCCTATCATTGTGGTGTAATGACAGCTCTGTGAGGTAGGCTTTAATGCAGTAGACCTCAAGCCTTGTTTTGTTTTAAAATTATCTGTTAAGCTTTCGAAAAACTTTGCATAGGCCTCCTCTCAGAAATTGTGATACATTTTATCTGCACTGTGATTACAATAATCTGTAATTTAAAAACAATATATGTCCTTGCCACTCACATGCAGTCCACGAATCATAAAATGGGCTAGGGGTATTAATTAAAAATGTAGAATCTGGGCCAGCGCGGTGGCTCACGCCTGTACCTAGCACTCTGGGAGGCCGAGGCTGGCGGATTGCTCGAGGTCAGGAGTTCAAAACCAGCCTGAGCAAGAGTGAGACCCCGTCTCAACTATAAATAGAAAGAAATTAATTGGCCAATTAATATATAGAGAAAAAATTAGCTGGGCATGGTGGCGCATGCCTGTAGTCCCAGCTACTTGGGAGGCTGAAGCAGAAGGATCACTTGAGCCCAGGAGTTTGAGGTTGCTGTGAGCTAGGCTGACGCCACGGCACTCACTGTAGCCTGGGCAACAAAGTGAGACTCTGTCTCAGAAAAAAAATAAATAAATAAAGTAGAATCTGAACTGTAGACCCTCCAGGGGATTTGCATGGACATCAAAGTTCAGAAGCACTGCCCTGGGTGACTCTCATCCAGTCCAGAGTGAGAACTAGCAATTTAATGAGTTAGGAAGATGTGAAGATCATTTCATCATTCGTGGCAGCATCTGCAAGTGTGATATCCCTGGTGTGTGATTCCTAGGTATGCTCTTGACACCGGAGATGGGCTTCAGTCATTTACTAGGGAAGCAAAATTCTGAGAATCTAGGTGCGTGATGTCCACTAGTTGTTTCTTCTCACTGTAACGCCAGCACATAATGTCTGAGTGTAAAAACGGTTACGGAGGCTGTATTAAACGGCACCAGCAGGGTGAAAATCCCAGAAGTTGGCCTTAGTTATGTATTTTTTTGTGAAGGAGCTTCCCACATCTCTTAGTTCTCCTTCTCTGCTTTCTTGGTCAGGTTTGAGGCATAAAAAGTTAGCTCAGGAGATTGTGAGGAAAGGCAAACCTAAAGTCTGCAAGCCAGAGAAAGTCTGAGAGCTAGAGGTTGATGTTGCAGTCTTGAGTCTGCAGGCAGCCTGGAGGCATAATTCTTTCTTCTTCTTCAGGGGACTGTAATGAGGCTCACATTACAGAACATAATCTACACAAAGTGTATTGGCATAAATGTTAATAACAGTACAAAGTAATCTTTACAAAACATATATCTTTCATGGTGATACCAAGTTGACACATAAATTTTTTTTTTTTGAGACAGAGTCTCGCTTTGTTGCCCAGGCTACAGTGAGTGCCGTGGCGTCAGCCTGGCTCACAGCAACCTCAAACTCCTGGGCTCAAGCGATCCTTCTGCCTCAGCCTCCCAAGTAGCTGGGACTACAGACATATGCCACCATGCCCAGCTAATTTTTTCTCAAAAATTAGTTAGCCAATTAATTTCTTTCTATTTATAGTAGAGATGGGGTCTCACTTTTGCTCAGGCTGGTTTTGAACTCCTGACCTTGAGCAATCCACCTGCCTCGGCCTCCCAGAGTGCTAGGATGACAGGCGTGAGCTACCGTGCCTGGCAGACACATAAAATTAACTGTCACGTGGAGTATGGATATATGAGGAAGAACTCAAGTAAGGGCTTGAGGGCAGAAATTATCCTTCTTTCTGTTTGTTCCAAAGTTTATAAAATTATCATCCTATTTATTTTTTCCCATACCAATATCAATGACTTCATGTGGATTTGAGCAGAAGGATGTTTAGTTTGAGTCATCTGCATAAGTGAAAAGAGTAGTATATCTGCAATACCATGATTTTTTCTTTCATTTTTTTTCTTTTATTGTATTATGGGGCTACAAGTGTTAAGGTTATATATATTGCCCATGCCCCCCCTCTTGAGTACCATGATATTTTTTATGGGTACAAAATTATATCTGTGAAGTCAGTCATAGTCAAAATTTAGTGCTAAATGGTTAAAACCAATGAGTTTTAGTTCTAAGGGGATTTAGTAGTAGTTACTCTTAGTGGGAGTTTACTGTCTTTAAAGTTAGAGGAATGCATGTCTCAGCCTGAAAGACAGCGAACAAGTACTTATGAAACATCAGCAACACCCAGGCACCATGCCAGGTGCTGGCACGGCTGTGGGCATGAAGGCAGTCATGGCCTTTCCTGTGTGGAGTTTATAATCTGATAAGGAAGCCAGCAATGAACAACTGATCGAGGGCAATGAGTGCTCTTGGATGAGGACAGGATGCTGTGGAAATATAGCAGCAGGTTTTGACTGGTCTGCAGAAACAGGGAGGGTTTAGCTGAGCCAGTGACACATAACATACCTGAAGGATAATTGGAGGTAAGCCAGGTGAAGAGGAGGAAGAGGGAAGAAGGTGTTAGGAAGGAGGAATAGCAAGTATGAAAGGCTGGAGGCAAGAAATTTTGACTTACAAGTCTAGCATTGTTGGAGAGAGGGACGTAAGAGTCAGAGTCATTGCGGGACTAGATGAGGCTGTGGAGGTAGGCACAGGTCAGGTAATGAAACATCATTTGTGTTCTAGAAAGGAATTGGGTCCATCTTAAGAGAAATGATAATCCACGAAGACTTTGAGCAGGAAATGATGATCAGATTTTCATCATGGAATGCCACAGTGTGAATGAAGCTTGTTGAAGGAGAAGGGGACTGAAGAATGGAGGCAGGGAGATGAATTGAGAAGTTGTCTCAATAGTTCAGATAAGACAAGATGTTGGCCTGGTCTAGGGTAGTGGCTGTTGGGATGAGCAGTGGATGAATTAGAAAGAGTATGAAGTGTAGAAGCTATAGGACTTCCTAGACTGGATATTGATGGTGACAGAAATGAATTAATGAAATGAAGCTCTTAGGTTTCTGACTTGAGCTTGGATTCCTGTTGCTAAACATGAGAGAGTGGAGGAGGATGGGGTGGGAAGAGGAGCAGGGTGAGGTCTGAGTTTCATTTGGCATCTGTGGAGCTGAAGATGCCTGTGATATATCCAAGGGAAGACAGTTATTGAGACTTGGGATATAGAGTTCTGTAGGTCAGAGAACAGAGTTTTACGTGGTAATTGAAGCCATTGGTGTAGATAAGTTTTTCTTGGGGATACATGTAGAATTATTAGAGAAAACAGTGTAGAAAAAGCCCTAAGGATTATAAACATGTAAGATACCAACAGAGCAGCAGCCAGTTACAGTTACTAAGTTACCTGGCCAGGCAGGTAAGAGGAAAACCAACATATTTTGTGTTTCAGAAGTAAGTAGATAAAAGTATTTTATAAAGTATGAAATATTGTTACATGTTAAAGAGAAATGAAGAAAATAAGTCATTTCTGATTATAGAGATTCTAATTACAGACATTTGTGATATAGCAATAATTATTGTGATGGCTGTGAAATAAACAATTTTTGCAGAACACCAGGTATCATATAAAATATGTTCATTTTTAAATTCAGGTTTTAAAGGACACTATTATTTTCCCTTGAAGATACTGGTGACAGAATATGACAGGAAGGAATCAAACTATCTTCTCAGAGTTCCTCCTCCTGGGCCTGCCCATCAAACCAGAGCAGCAAAACCTGTTCTATGCCCTCTTCCTGGCCATGTATCTTACCACTGTCTTGGGGAACCTCCTCATCATCGTCCTCATTCGACTAGACACCCATCTCCACACACCCATGTATTTGTTTCTCAGCAACTTGTCCTTCTCTGATCTCTGCTTCTCTTCTGTGACCATTCCCAAGTTGTTGCAGAACATGCAGAGCCAAGACCCATCCATTCCTTACGCAGGCTGCCTGACTCAAATGTACTTCTTCCTGTTTTTTGGAGACCTGGAGAGCTTCCTCCTGGTGGCCATGGCCTACGACCGCTATGTGGCCATCTGTTTCCCCCTGCACTACACCACCATCATGAGCCCCAAGCTCTGTCTCTCCCTGGTGGTGCTGTCCTGGGTGCTGACCACATTCCACGCCATGTTGCACACCCTGCTCATGGCCAGACTGTGTTTCTGTGCGGACAACATGATCCCTCACTTTTTCTGTGATATGTCTGCTCTGCTGAAGCTGGCCTGCTCTGACACTCGCGTTAATGAATTGGTGATATTCATCATGGGAGGCCTCATTCTCGTCATCCCGTTCGTACTCATCATCGTGTCCTATGCACGAATTGTCTCCTCCATCCTCAAGATCCCTTCTGCTAAGGGTATCCATAAGGCCTTCTCCACCTGTGGCTCCCATCTCTCTGTGGTGTCACTGTTCTATGGGACAGTTATTGGTCTCTACTTATGCCCGTCGGCAAATAATTCTACTGTGAAGGAGACTGTCATGGCCATGATGTACACTGTGGTGACCCCCATGCTGAACCCCTTCATCTACAGCCTGAGGAACAGAGACATGAAGGGAGCCCTGGGAAGAGTCATTTGTCAAAAGAAAATTCTCTTTTCTCTGTGATGGCAGCATTTGTAATTATTGCATAGTGTATCTAGCAAAGATATTGATATTTATATTGGAATATTATTCTAGATTTTTTCCTCACCATGGGAACTCCTGTTGAGATGGCATACTACGTGATTACTCAATATGTAAAGGAAATGAAGTGTAGCTGAGTAGTTGAACTAGGGAAGAAGGTCTCGGTGACGTGGCTAGAATTTCCTTTGTCTTCGCCAGTTAATCCCAGAAAAACATAGTTTAAGAACTAACGTTTTAAATGGTCTGCATGCCTTACATTCTTAAATTAATTAATTTAATTCTTAAATTGAACTGTCACAGGATTTGATTCTTTTACCCAGAACTCTGCTTTGATTGTGGTATCATTTTTCAATAGTGCTCTATAATCTTAGGCCAATACTAAATGAGGTCCAAACATCTCAACCTTTCAGCCTTCCTGTGAGTGTCTCCTACCTATTCTCCCTGCATGAATTGTCACAGCATTCTACCTCTTAATTCTCCTCCACCCCTAATTTATTTTCACATGTACATAGTCTTTTTTTTGATCTGACCTGACCCTGAATCGCTTTCTCTATCCTTTTACTACAGTAGTGCATTTATTGCAGTAGTGCACCTTAGGACACAGAGACCCTACAATTTATTTCCCCAGGAATGGAGAAAGAAGCTAGATGCTGGTAAAAAGTTCAGTTTTTAAGAATGCCTCTCTCCCCTTTGGTGTTTTGAACTTTACAAAAGAACTTTATATCTATGTTTGTATTCGACCTTTAAGACAATTCCAAGTAGAGAAGATACTATGACAGTTTTACAGACTGAAAGGTATGAAGTTCAATGACTTCTTACATCACACGGTGTGTCAGTTGTTGATCCCAGACTATCTGACTCTGCAGGTTCTCGTTTTCTCACATTTTAGAAAGAAGGGGAGCAGCTATTCTTTTTTAAACTCTTTTTTAAAATTTCAAAATATTACAGGAGTACAAATGTTTTTGGTTACATGTATTAATTTTGTTATGCTTGAGTCAGGGTTATAAATGTGCCCATTACCCAGATAGTGTTCATTGTCTTTTTTAAACTCTTAGCTCCACTTTTGGTTTCCAATCTTGTCAATTTGCCTTCTTAGTGTCCTAAGTGATGACATCCAAACCCATCACTGTCATCCTCTTATATATTCTTCTGACATCCACATCTTTATCTAAAGCCCAGGCCTTTCTCCAGAGCTTCCAACTGTCATTGTCATCTGCCCAGTGCAAATCTCTATTTGAGGCGCTATGGCTCTGCTCAATCTCAACTTGCACAATATTGAACTTTTTATAGTCCATTTAAGTCTTCTCAGTGTCTTTTGTTCCATATCTTGATTTATGATGTCACTTTCCACACAACTGCCTGATCAACCACTTCTGTATATGTATATATTACAATATTGTATTTTGCCTTTTTCATTTAACATCGTATTTCCTGAAATATTTTGTTATTTTCCATGTGGTCATTAAGGTAACACCAGTTTCACAATGTATAGACTCTAAAATCTCAGTGGCATAATACAACAGAGGTATCAGTGGAAGAGAGAAGGTAGGTATATATGGAAGTGATCATTGGCTAATATAAGACAGTGGTGATGAAGTGCTATCATATTTGCTTCTGACAACTGTTTTAGTTGGCCATATACTGCAGAAGATAGAGAAAAGAGTTATTAGTGTGGGCCAGAGAAAGCATTTTTGAGACTGTCATGCTTGGAGTGAACCCAGAATTCTGTCTCCGGATACGATTTATTCAGATATGTGGCTCAGGAGAGTGCAGGGGTAAGTGGGTGGAGCAAGTACTGGGTTTGTTATTAATGAGTTTCTTTGGGACCCAGGATCCCAAGGGCCAGAGCACTGTAGCGGGGAGGAGTCAGAGAACAATGGCAGGGACTCTAGCTGGAAATATTCAGCGTGGAAGCAGGAAACAAGAAGCAGGCTCTAGAGCCACGCTCAGTCAAGCTGGGTTAGCTGGGAGGGAGTTCAGAAGAGTTAGCCATCCAAATATCCCCTTTAACAGATATTAGTATTCTTAGTGAAATTCTTACAGGACAATTTAGAAGTAATCATCCTCATTTTTTGGTCACAGGCCAGTAGATGACAGAGTATGACTCCTCTGGACTTCTGAACATTTTTGTTTGGGGTCTGGGTACATGGAGTGTAGGAGATCATCTTGGGAGCTCCTTTCCATGAAGCTAGTTTTCCTCACCCTCAGTTGAGCTGTCCTAATATTGGTGTCTTTATTTTTTTTTTTTTAACCTGGAATGCACCATTTTATTATTTTTAATTCATTATTTATTTATTTTTATTTCAGAGTATTATGGGGGTACAAACGTTTAGGTTGCATATATTGTCTTTGTACTGCCCAAGTCAGAGATACAGGTGTGCCCATCCCCTAGGCAGTGTGCACCACACCTATTAGGTGTGAATATACCCATCCCTTCTGCCCCCCTCCCACTTGCCTAACACCCAAAACATGAAAGTCACTTCCATTTGTGCATGTAAGTGTTGATCAATTAGTCCCAATATGAGGATGGGTATATGTGGTGCTTGTTTTTCCATTCTTGTGATATATCACCAGATGGTTTCACACCCGAATTCTACCAGACCTACAAAGAGGAACTGGTGCCTGTTCTGTAGAAATTATTTCACAACATCAAGAAGGAAAGAATCCTCTCCGACATGTTTTATGAACCCAACATCACCCTGATAACAAAACCAGGAAAGGATTCAACAAAAAAAGAAAACTACAAGCCAATATCCCTTATGAATACATATGCAAAAATTCTCAATACAATTTTAGCAAATTGAATTCAGCTGCTCATTAAAAAAATAATCCATGAAGACCAAGTGGTCTTCATCCCAGAGACGCAGGGATGGTTCAACATATGCAAATGTATAAATGTAATTCACCACATAAACAAGTAAAAACAAAGACCATATGATCCTCTCAATAGATGCAGAAATAGCATTTGACAAAATTCAAAACCCTTTTATGATAAGAACGCTTAACAAAATAGGCATAGATGGGACTTACCTCAAAATGATAAGGCCATATATGACAAACCCACAGCCAACATCATATTGAATGGGGAAAAATTGAAAGCATTCCCACTTAGAACTGGAACCAGATAAGGTTGCCCTCTATTACCACTTTTATTCAACATAATGCTAGAAGTCCTAGCCAGAGCAATCAGACAAGAGAAGGAAATCAAGGGCATCCAAATGGGGGAAGAAGAGGTCAAACTGTTGCTGTTTGCTGATGATATAATCTTCTATCTACAAAACCCCAAAGATGCTGCCAAGAGACTACTGGAATTGATAAATTCATCAAAGTCTCAGGTTACAAAATCAATGTTGGTGTCTTTAACTAGGGATAGATTCAATTCATGTGTTGAGAGGAAATCCCTGCTATTTGGGTTCCAATCTGTCCCTTCTGGGTCAGTAACTTTTTCCACCCCATGGTGATTCTCCACACCTTCTCTATTAGCTTTGGGTTGGGGGTGGATCAGGGTAAAGGTACTTGGAAAAATATTACATCCACATCACAGAACTTAATGACCACAGTTGTAAGTCTTACAAATCCCACAACAAACTTAGTCTCACCATATGGCAAGTTTTATTTTTTTTTTTTACATGGATTGTTTTATTTTTTCCTTCCTATGGCATGATGAGTTAGGTTTGCTCCCATTAGACTGATGAGAGAGAATTCAACTAAAAGAGGTTAAGTTCATTGGCCAAGGTCACGAAGCTGGTAGGGGTGGAGAGAGGTCAACTCAGGCTGACTGGCTCCAGGGACCTTGCACTAACATGCTGTTCATGCCATACTAAGTCCTCCCAATCCCAGCTGCATTCCTGATATCCCCAGGAAGTGTTTTTCATTTCTATTCCCTTCTAATTCTTACTTGCCTGACTAATATCCTCTGGGGTCATGAAGTCTTAATAGGCAAAGGGGACAAGATTTTCATGTGGTTGGGATAGTATTATCTAGGTAACAAGGCAATCAAAATAAAGGAGATATTTTTCCAGGGCCAAGAAGCTTTGGTAGTGACATAGCAAAGTGACTCCCAATGCTGGGGAGCCACTTGAAGTCCAAGTGGGTCCTTGGATTCACAAAAGAAAGAATTCAGGAGTGAGCGGACAGTGTAAAGTGAAAGCGAGCTTTATTTAGAAAGTGTAGAAAATCTACCTCCACAGAGCAGAAGCTAGTTCTCCCTGTAGAGGAGAACCAGCCCCATGGTTCTTTTGTCCCCTCTATTTAAGCAACATCTTAATTATAGGCTAAACAAGGGAAGGAATATTCATGTTATATCTTGGAAAGGGGTGATGCCTTCCCGGAATTAGTGTGATGTCCTCCTTTTGACTAAATATGGTCAAAAAGGAAGTGTCATGGCATCAGGTGCAAGATGGGAGTGGGAGGTTTCTTTAGAAACGTTTATGGTAGTGAAATGTATAAGAAAGCTGTAAGATCAAGAGTTGGTCAAGTTCTCCACCATCTTGGTTCTAACCAGTTGGAACTTGTCCTGCCTCCATCTTGTTTTGATCAGGGTAATTCAAAACTTTGTTTTGAGACTTCCTCATTTTGTTAAACAATGCCTGCACAATTAAGGAAACGCCTAAAGCAATGCCTGAAGCAATACCCAAAGCAATGCCCAAAGCGGTGCCTGCCAGTTCTCTGTCTCACGAAGGTTTAGTGCCTATAGATGGTGAGAGAATTTCTACTGCCTTTGAATCTTAAGCAACTCAGACCTTCATGCAGTTCTGCAGTTTGAGCAGCCCCTGTGCGTCTAGATGGCTCCCAGGCTGAGGCAGGCATGGAATATGGATCAGTTTTGGCTGGTCATCTCCTTCATCACGTCCTCTGGGGCAGGTAGCGGAAGGAGTGTGTCCAATTGTGTGGATAGATAAATATCTGGGTTTTTCTTTGGGGTGGGAGTGTTAGGAGCAGACCAATGAGAAGGTGTTTGATGGGTGATTGATTTGCACGCT